CACACACACACACACACACACACATATATAAATACAGAGACAATATAAATAAAATATACGAAGGGGATAAATAGAATAAATAGGAATAAAAAATAAAAATACAAGTGAATGAATTGCACATTTCGAGTATTGAGGTCTATATAGCAGATCTAGTTCTCATGGTTTCAACAAACCATCCAATAAACTCATTCCAACCTACTCTTCTCCTCAGGGCGATAGAGGATTCCCTGGTGAGCGTGGTGCACCTGGGCCAGTTGGACCTGCTGGTGCCCGTGGATCCCCAGGAGCCTCTGGAAATGATGGTGCTAAGGTGAACACATCTTATATAAAAACTAAGAAGTTCTCAGTTGTGAGTAGATTGACTAAATTGCACATATTTCACTATTCTGAACATCTCTTCCTCAGGGAGATGCTGGAGCCCCTGGTACTCCTGGTGCTCAGGGTCCTCCTGGACTGCAGGGAATGCCTGGTGAGCGCGGTGCCGCTGGTCTTCCAGGACTGAGAGGAAACAGAGTGAGTTGCCTTCTGTAGTCCTATTACTCTTAGTATTCGGATAGTACATTGGCGGTCACTGCCATTGTAGACTGCTATCCTAGGTGAGATTTACTTTAGCAATCCAACAAACACTGATCAGTGTTTCTATTATATGTCCATCCATTTTATTGTCATTACGACACAATTGGGATGCAAATGCCCAGTGTAATCACTGATGGGCTTTACGGTGACTTAGCAAATGACCCCAGCATTGTAAGACCTGATATACTATGTGAATGTTCGTCTTATTACCAACATCTTTTTTCCTTTCAAACGCACAGGGTGACCAAGGACCTAAGGGTGCTGATGGAACTCCTGGTAAGGATGGTCCTCGTGGTTTGACTGGACCAATTGGACTTCCTGGACCTGCTGGCTCCCCAGGAGACAAGGGAGAGTCTGGTGCCCAAGGACCTGTTGGACCTTCTGGAGCCCGTGGACCCCCTGTAAGCACTGCTGTGTCTGCTACAGATAATGTTTAATTTAAAGTTTTTAAGTGTGTTAATCTTTGAATGTTCGAATTCATTCTGATTCGTCTACCTCATCAGGGTGAGCGTGGTGAGGCCGGACCACCTGGACCTGCTGGATTCGCTGGACCTCCTGTAAGTAAATTCTACAATAGTGTCCACGCTATTTTTCTTACTCTAACACAGAAGTTACTAAAAAACTATTTGGCTTTTTCTTCACAACCACCAATCCACTCTAGGGTGCTGATGGACAGCCTGGTGCTAAGGGAGAGGCTGGAGATAATGGTGCTAAGGGAGATTCTGGTCCTCCCGGACCTGCTGGACCCACTGGTGCTGCAGGACCTCAGGTTTACACAATAACATACTCCCAGCATATCCCAGTTCACAAATTACAGCTATTTAGACATACATGTGACCACATTGTGTGCTGCTGTTTCTTTGACACTATGCTGTTGCCTTTCAGGGTCCCGTTGGAAACACTGGCCCTAAGGGAGCCCGTGGACCTGCTGGACCTCCTGTAAGTCACTCTTCCTACTTTCCCAAGCAACTTACATTTCTGACATTAGCTTAGAGGTGACAGTACCTCTAGCCAAACTGGCAATACTTCATAAAACTGGGCAAAGAAAATTTAAAAAAGGAAAGAAAGTAGTGAAAGATTTTATTTATTTTCCAAACACGTACCACCATCAAATCCATTGTTTGATACATGTCTGTTTTTTGTTTGTTTGTTTTTTACTGACTTGATGCAGTATTTTTGCAGCCTGAGTTAGCTAATTGGCCTCGATCTCCCTAGGGTGCTACTGGCTTCCCTGGTGCTGCTGGCAGAGTTGGACCTCCCGGCCCCGCTGTAAGTTTTTCTTAGGTGTTTCTGACACAGTGCGCAAAATCTATGTGTTTTCCTGGAATTATTTTCAATTCTCCCTGTCCTCCCCACAGGGTAACGCTGGACCTCCCGGAGCTCCTGGACCAGCTGGCAAGGAGGGACCCAAAGGAAACCGTGGTGAGACTGGACCTGCTGGTCGCCCTGGTGAGTTGGGTGCTGCTGGACCCCCAGGACCTTCTGGAGAAAAGGGTAGCCCTGGTGCTGATGGTGCTCCTGTAAGTTATATCAACTTTCAGTACATTCTAAAATGCTGTGACACAATTTATAATAAACCATAGCCTTCAATAATCTTCTTTCAGCAATATCATTAAATTTAATTTCCATCCTTTCACTGACTGCACAGTTTCTGCTACCTGTGTCTCAGTGTCTAACTACTTTCTGTCTGTCTTTCACAGGGTAGTGCTGGTATTCCTGGACCTCAGGGTATTGCTGGACAGCGTGGTATTGTTGGTCTGCCTGGACAGAGAGGCGAGAGAGGTTTCCCTGGACTTCCCGGAGCTCTTGTAAGTTCCTATTGGTATTCTAAAACCCAGAATTTCAAAAATTTAAAAATGTTCAGTGGATCTGATAAATCCAGAACATCAAGTTACATGATTCTAAATCAAGAGAAAAGTCTATCTACTTCTAAAAGACACAAAACAATAACATTTAATTCTCATTTAGCTAAGCAAAAAATAAGACAGACCAGTCTCAGTCAGTTAGAAATATGAATGAGGTTAATATAACTGGACTGACTGCAATTGTTGCACTAATAGGGAGAGCCTGGAAAGCAAGGCCCTGGTGGTCCAAACGGTGAGCGTGGACCTCCCGGACCCATGGGACCCCCTGGCCTGGCCGGAGCCCCTGGAGAGTCTGGACGTGAGGTATAAAGTCCCACTAAAGCAAGTGGAGAGCCAAGGGGTGGCTCTCCCTTTGGTTACCCTACCCAACCAACTGTGAAGCCCATTGAAGGGCCAATTATATGCTCATGAACATGTAGTTGCATCTAGTGACTGCTATATTCCTAATAGAACTTTTTGCGTGACAGTATTTTGCTATAAACACTATTTCTGACACATCTCGTTATGCATTCAGCCATATAAATTTTAAAATTTTTCAACAAACTTTCAGTGAAGTCAGTTCTGAAGGTTTTTGTTAAGCTTAACTTGCTCTGTGCCTGTGTTTAAGGGAACCCCTGGTAACGAGGGCGCAGCTGGTCGTGATGGAGCCCCTGGACCCAAGGTAAGATAAGCTGACCTCACCAACAGCACACAGCTATCTTATTTTTTGTTCCATAGCGCCAAGTATGTTGGCAGCCTACAAGTTAGCATGCTAACATGTTAACATGCAACTAAATAATTTGTGTAGCATCACAAGTTATCTAGCCTAAAGTTTACCTATTAGCCATCATCCACAACTTCTAAAACCAGAGGAAGAAGTCACACTTTCTGTGAGTACTGCCATGATTTGTGAATCCCACCCTGGAGGATATATATGTGTGTTCAGCATCTTCATACATATTCATACACTACTAGAATTTTTAACATAAAGCTTAACGGGCAAATGTAGTCAGATACACTGTTTGAAGCTAGTGATAACCTAGTTTTTATTTTTCCTTTAGGGAGACCGTGGAGAGAGTGGCCCTGCCGGAGCCTCTGGTGCCCCTGGTCCTCCTGGCGCCCCTGGACCTGTCGGCCCTGCTGGAAAGACTGGTGACCGTGGAGAGACTGTGAGTGACAAATCTGCTTCATTAATGTTTCAGCTTGGTATGTCATGCCAGTCAAAGACAAGGCTGTAAGTCACTGCAACCCTGTCTCCACGTAAAACTTCTTCTTTTTTTTTCAATTTTCCAGGGACCTGCTGGCCCTGCCGGCGCTGCTGGCCCTGCTGGACCTCGTGGCCCTGCTGTAAGTAACTATATTGGTTGCAAAACTACACTGGATGGAAGAGCATGCAAGGAAGGTTAAACCAAATGATGTCTGTCATTTTTCCTTATGACAGGGGGCTACTGGACTTCGTGGTGACAAGGGAGAGGCTGGAGAGGCTGGAGAGAGAGGCATGAAGGGACACAGAGGATTCACTGGCATGCAGGGACCTCCCGGACCTGCTGTATGATAGTTTATGCTTGAGTCTGCATATACTACAGTCAAAGAAAGTAATGCCATACACCAGTAAACTTAGTTTTAAACTGATTGTCTTCTTTTGTGCACCCATAGGGACCTTCTGGAGAGTCTGGACCCGCTGGTGCTGCTGGACCCGCTGGACCTAGAGTAAGTTAACTTAGTCTGGAGCAGTTGTGTAGTTTCAGCTTTACCTAGTTTATTTTCAGATACTGACATTTGAAATTTCCTGGTATCTGTAGGGTCCTTCAGGAGCTGCTGGTTCTGCTGGTAAGGATGGTATGAGTGGTCTGCCTGGACCCACTGGACCTCCTGGACCTCGTGGACGTTCTGGAGAGATGGGACCTGCTGTAAGTCTAACAAGCTAACCTTCTTTACATTCAGCTGTTTACTTAAGTTGTGCCACGTTGTACCTTTATACCTAGGGTTTTTGAGGGTTACATTTTGATAAAAGCAGCACATTACTAATGAACTAACCAACCCACACTTTTTCTTTACCCTTCTCCTTCTGCAGGGTCCTCCTGGACCTCCTGGACCTCCTGGAGCACCTGGTGCCCCTGGTGGTGGATTTGACCTTGGCTTCATGGTCCAGCCTCAGGAGAAGGCTCCTGATCCCTTCCGCATGTACCGTGCTGATGATGCTAACGTTCTCCGTGACCGTGATCTGGAGGTTGATAGCACCCTGAAGAGCCTGAGCCAGCAGATTGAGCAGATCCGCAGCCCTGACGGAACCCGCAAGAACCCAGCAAGAACCTGCAGGGACCTCAAGATGTGCCATCCTGACTGGAAGAGCGGTGAGCAGTTCAATACAGTGACAGGAGAGCTAGTCCAAGGGCAGTCAGATGTAGGCCTAGCGGAGTTTTGAAGTTGTTTGTGTTTTGCAGGTGAGTACTGGATTGACCCTGATCAGGGCTGCACTCAGGACGCCATCAAGGTCTACTGCAACATGGAGACCGGCGAGACCTGCATATCCCCAACTCAGCGTGAGGTTGCCCAGAAGAACTGGTACATCAGCAAGAACATCAAGGAGAAGAAGCACGTCTGGTTCGGAGAGGCTATGAATGACGGCTTCCAGGTAAGCGTCCTAATTTATAGAACCTACCTGTTCTCTCTTCTTCTGTTCTTCTTTATAGTTTCTTCTTCTGTCAATTTCCATATTTCTCTTATCTGCCGTTCTATTGTGATTTTCTGCAGCTTGAGTTCATTTCTCTTACCCACTTTCCTAAATGTCTGCTTAGGTTCCTCTTCTACTCCTCTCTACCCATCTCCACTTCTTCCCACTTTGTCTTTACCCTGTCTTTTTCAACACCATCACACCTTTGCCCATCACAGTCAGTAATCTATCCCCTATTCACTGTCTTGTGCAGTTCGAGTATGGCAGTGAGGGCTCTCTGCCAGAGGATGTCAACATCCAGATGACCTTCCTGCGTCTCATGTCCACTGAGGCATCCCAGAACATTACCTACCACTGCAAGAACAGCGTCGCCTACATGGATGCTGCCGCTGGCAACCTCAAGAAGGCCCTCCTCCTCCAGGGCTCCAACGAGATTGAGATCAGAGCCGAGGGCAACAGCCGCTTCACCTACAGCGTCCTCGAGGATGGATGCACGGTGAGGAAACCTTTTACATTAAACTCAATATGTTAATTATTCAAAGTTAACAGAGATTGAGACGGGTTAGAGGCTAGAGGTTCTAATCAGCACTGTTCTGAATATGAACCCTAATTCTGATTTTCGTTGTCTCTCCTTCCAGTCACACACCGGTACATGGGGCAAGACAGTCATTGACTACAAGACATCGAAAACATCTCGCCTGCCCATCATTGACATCGCTCCTATGGACGTTGGTGCTCCAGACCAAGAGTTTGGCTTTGAAGTTGGACCTGTCTGTTTCTTGTAAAAAGAGAAATCTGGACTTGAAATTGTTGTTGTGTGCGTGTGTGTGTTTAATTTTTTTCTAGCAGTCATCTCTCTCTAAAGCAAAAGCAAAAAAAATGCCCCCAACAAATCATTCTCCCGATGCCATTTTTCTGAAAAATCTGACCCTTCGTTCTACAAGTTTCCATTTGGCCGTTGCTCCGATGGTCCGCTTTGCCTAAAACCTGCACTTCGATGAGAACAAGATGGCGGTGGTGTAGAGGCATCTGCATCGTCGCATTTGGGACCACTACTTTTTTTTTGTTTCTGACTTTTTTTTGTTTGTTTTTGCCATCACCAACACCAAGGATCCTGTAGAGAAGACATTTTGTTTCACTGGCAACAAGAAAATAATATATGCCTCTGTAAAGTGTAAAAGAAAATTGACTTCCCCTCATCATGCGGCCAAACCCGGCCTCTCTGGAGTTTACAGAAACAGACACAGGTGACTTTTGTATTTTTATACACCTCTGCGGTGAGAGGAATGAAAGGACAGTCCCAACAGACAGAACCCAATTGCTTTGTACCACGTTTCAGGTGTTGATGAATAAACGGTGAAACTGACAGCCATGTTTGTCTCTGTTGTTCTGCCCTTCCCCTTTTTCCACCTGCCCCTAGACAACGCCTCCTCAAGAGTTGTTCCTTCCTCACCTGCTGATGTTGTAGCTGTTGTGATTTGTTTGTTGTTGTGGTCTCTTTCATGTTTATTCCTCTCTATGTCTCCCTTTTTTTCCTAAAGAAAAGCCACATTAAAACCACCAGCAGAGAAACATGGGTTTAAACCTCTTTTTTTAAGGAAAAAAACACAAAAAAATCCTTATGCCTACCTCAGAAGTGAAAGGAATTCCAGCTCTAAAAAAAGGGCCCAGTGTTTTTTAAAGTGAAGCCTGAAGTAGAGTTGTGGTGGTCAGTGGGGGTAGTTGAGGTTTGCAGACACTTTAACAGAAGCAGAGAGGGCAAAAGCCTAAAGGTGCTATTCTTTCTTTCTCAGAGGTCTGCTGGCTGCTCAGTATGACTATACTGTTGTGTAGTAGTGTAGCTACGGTCACTCTGGCATGGCAGGGTCCTCCTCATGGTGCTAAAATAAAACCACAGTTTTTTTTTCTTGGTGTCCAGAATGAGACAGACTTCTTCTATTTCCAGCTTTGGTAATGTTGGCAACCAGCGTAGCGCCTCTTTAAGCCTCTTTTTTTATGTTTTGAACTTCCCCCTTCTCTTTTAACTGTCATCCAGATTCTAGTCCACCAACTATCTGTTGTGGTCTGTTTCTTGTTTTTCTTTTCTTGAAGTTTCTCAACAACAACAAAATTCGAGCTGTGATAAAATGCGCAGAAAGAGAACCATCAGTGAGAGTTTGTGAGAGAAGGCAGACAGACACACCCATGGGGGAAAACACCACAAGGATCTGTACCTATTTTGTATATGTATAATAAATTGAGATGTTTTTAATTATTTTGAATGCTGAAATAAAGCATGTTAAGTGGTCGAACAATGAATCCTGCCTAATTGCCTGACTGACCCCCTGCACTTCTCCCCCCCTCCAAAAAAAAGAAGAGACTTGAAGTAAAGCACCTTTGGCCTTTTTTACAACTTGTACAGTAACAGAAAGAGACAAGATTAAAGAAACATGACAGAAAGATTTCTGCCTCTTGTTTAATATTTTGCTAATATATTCCTCTGTAGACGAAAGATGTTAGCAGATTTTGAAACATTTTTGAAGGTAGCACCTTGACTTGTGTCTCTTGATCATGTAAGCCTTTGCTTCTCTTTGCAGTTTTGAGTGCTACCACGTAAAATAAGCAGGTGAATAACGCGGCTTCTAATTGTGAAACCTGTCCAACTTACTGGGGGTCAGAAAAAATGAGGAGAGCAGCCTACCTTTCAGTCAGATTCCACATTGTGACTTCTTCCATGCCATTAAATCCATATAGAAAAATGCACATCCATAATCCGCCAAGAAAGTGTCAGCCTGATAGTCCATTTACGAGTAATTCTGTCCATCTTGACAAGTCCCTACAACAATCTTTTACCCCACTGTTTCCACAGCTGGTCAGCCCGTCTGCTCATCTCAGACTGCAGAACTGAGGGGCTTGTTGGTGCTGGAGGGAACCAGCTCTGCTCTCAGACTGTTGGCACCAACTTGGCTTCACAAAGACACTGATTGTCCACCTTGAGGGAGCCAGGGAAGAGAGGGTAGGTTTTCACTCCCGGCGGGAATCTGGATTATTTCCGCAAGAATTTAGGCCTTTATTTGAGGCCTGGGCAGAGGAATGTTAACCTCTCCGGTTTCGGACAACAGAGGAGGTTCTGTTTGCAGGGAGGAAGCTTCTCTTCAGGCTTGTGTGACTTTATACCAAGAGTAAACATCAGAAGGGTGCGATGAGGCCAGAAAAAATGAGATAACAGATACAGCTGGAGGATGACTTTTAAGCAAGATCTTTGAAGGGACAGTTTCTGTTTATTCTTTTAGGCACCAGCCACAAAATATATGAACACATAAACTAAAAAGAAGCTTTGTAACAGATTTAGCTTCCATCTTCAGTGTTCTATCATCTAAAGATGGTATTGACATGAAATCCACACATGCAAAGAAAGCAAACCATAGATGACCGTAAATTATGTGTAATAATGCAGAACACACAGGGAAAAAGTATTGAGGCTGGTAACTGAAATTTATTAACTACTTTCTACTCAAGCCTTTGTTTGTGAGAACCGCTTCAAAGATCCTCCTGTGTGGAGAAACTAGTCCCATGCATTGCTCCGGTGTGACTTTGGCCCATTCCTTGGCTGTGTGTTTGGGATCATTGTCTTGCTGAAACCTACACCCTCATTTAATCTTCATCTGTCTCTGTACATTTTTCCATTCATCCTTCCTTCAATTATGCGAAGCATTCCAGTACTGTATGCTGAAAAACAGCCCCACACTATGACGTTCCCACCTCCAAACTTTACTGTTGGTATGGTGTGTTCGGGTCATATGTAGTGACTTTTGACCTCCAAGCATGGTGTGTATCCAAAGAGTTTAATGTTGGTCTCATCTGACCAGACTATATTCCCACAGTATTTCTCAGGTTTGTCTAAATGTTGTTCAGCAAACATTAAAAGTCTTGCATGGTGAGTGTGCTTACAGGCCATGGTGGCTGAGTGCATCAGAAACAAAAACAAAACAAAACAAAAATACCACCCAGGACTCTTGAGAAGCTGCAATCCTCTATCACACAGGAACAACATTCCTCTCTCAAAAGTCCACCACCTCAGTTTCCAAATATTTATGGAACATTAACAGTAAATATGGTTTTCCCCCAGTTACTGTCTTTCTTTTCATCTTTTTGGAATTTCTACAAAACTTTTTCATTGCTCACAGTTAACTCAGGATTAATCAGAGTTGACTGACTGTTGTTTGAGCTCAGTGTGTCACCTTTTGCTATCTTTTCTATTTTATTTACCATTAATTTAATACTTGAGTTAAATTTCAATCTCCAGAACCCCAACCTTATCAGTTCATTTTCAGTTGCCTTTTTTAGGCATTTTTTTTATTGAAAGGTAAAGACGCTACAATAATACAAAAAGTACTGTTGTGCTGCACACTCTACATTTATTTATATTCATAGTATCAAGGGTTCAGTACCCTATTAATGCCAAGCAGAGGCGCTAAATAATCACAATTGTGTAAATCCATGCCACCACATGGAAACACCTCTTAGGCTGTCTCTGTATCACACAGTGTCAACAGCAGTTGCACAAGTACTCTTTGTGATTCTCTGGCTTTCACCTGCACAATAATGATGCTCAGACTTCTTCAATTAGCTGCTCTTCCACTATGTCTAGCAGGTAAATTCCTGAGTTCTGTAAGTACTGATTTAAATATTAATGCTTCTAATAACTCCAACTGTGTGCTTCAATTGTGTTTTTTCTGTAGGGCTCTCATCAAAAACTGTCCATCAGAGTCCTGCTCAGATGTTCAAAGTGGCTGGAAAACAAGTCCTGATTAACTGCAATCACAGTAACAGTGATTTTTACATGATCCAGTGGTACAAGCAGTCTACAAGGAGAAATGAAATGACTCTCATTGGATTTGCACGATATGACAGTCAGGGTGTTGAAGGCCCATTCCAAGCACTTTATAACGTGAGCGGAGATGGCAGAAGTGCTTCGTCTCTTCACTTTTTAGCCCACGGCAGTGCGATATATTTTTGTGCTGCAAGTGAAGCACCCTGCTGCATCACCCGAGCGGTCTGTAACAAAAACCCTCACCACACTCATCTGCTGTAACCACACATTCTGCAAACACTTTGTCAATATCTGGTGTCAGACAGCCGATTATGCGGGATTAAAACAAAACTTTGAATGGTGGGGCATGGCATTACCAAAGACAGTTTGACACGTTTGCTCCATGAAAAATCGTCACTCTTCCCCAAACCCTGCAATTCTGGGAGCCTGACCAGCCCCTGGTGTTCTTCAGATGTTCAAACAATGCCAGTCCTTAATTGTTCACCTTTTTGCCATTCCCTGTTAGTATTATCACAACCTCACTTCTTAACAGTTAGCAGAGCTTCATCAGGTTCTTGACATCGTACTAAACCCCTTGCCTTGTAGCTACATTTTGAGTGCGTGCATGTGGGTGCAGAACATTCAATTCAATTCAATTCAATTTTATTTATATAGCGCCAAATCACAACAAAAGTCTCCTCAAGGCTCTTTGTATTGTACAGTAAATCACACAATAATACATACAGAGAAAAACCCAACAATCATATGACCCCCTATGAGCAAGCACTTTGGCGATAGTGGGAAGGAAAAACTCCCTTTTAACAGGAAGAAACCTCC